CTCAAATAGTACTGTAAAAAATGCTTATCTGATCATTTGGTACACCATCTGAGGCTGGTTGAGAGCAGCAGGCTATCACCTGTGGAAGAGCACCCCAAAACAGATGGAGATCGGGCGTAGAAGCCATTTTGAGTAACATGTGTTTCTGCTACAGGAACACATGCAACAAAAACCCAGAAAGATTTTACTTTTTATTGTGGTATCTTTGAACTTCTTTGGATGAGCAATGAATATCAAGGATCAAAACATTCTGCTTTCCAACTTAAAGGTAAATCATTTTTCTACAGTAGGCTTCAAAGGGAAAAGCCAACTAGGAGCTAGACCCTTCCACTCGAAACTTTCTCCCAGTTTATTTTCTGAGTTTCTCTATATCTCCCAATATGTTTTACGTGATATTATTAGTTCTATCATTGACTGGGGAGAATTATTCTCCTTTAAAATAGTACACAATGCAGACAAATTTCTTTATCTGAAGCTCCAATGTGAGATGTCTTATAATTGTTTAACATCTGAAAGAAAATCAATATTTAAAAAATATTTTGCACTTGTTCTTATGATGCTTATCTTAATTTCATGGCAGGCAGCTTACATTGATTTCCTCATGCCATTCTTAGTGAGGTATTTGTCATGTACAGTCACCACATTTTTTCTTCTTCCTGGTATAGCTTAAGAGATTTTGTAATAGGGGTGTTCAAAGATTTTCTTTTGTCTTCATTTTAAACAAAATCAGCTGGACCACATTCCCAGACTAATGCACGGATCAAAATACACTTACCCTTCCGATAATGAATGCCTCTGATTTTATTGATATAGTACTCAGCACAAAAAGCACATTGTAATGCATAGGAATTGCATTACTTTAGGTTAAAACATGACAAAAAAACCCCAATTTTAATAAAACATTTTAGAACATTATAAACTGGAAAGGGGATGGAACAGGTTTAGGAATGCAGAAGTGGGAAGGAATGAGGACTAGAGTTAAAGGACTACATCTGGCCCCTGAAGTGGCAACCAGCATCTCCAAGACATGCAAATGCTAGAAGACCCTTCCTCACAACTCCACTCCAACTATGATCCTGGAAGTCCCTTATTGGCCATGATTGGTGACCATATCAAAATAGTAACTTTTCCAAAGTTTGATCTGAATATTAGATGCTAGAGATGAATAATGTCCCCTATGTTTTTGAGTAACCATATATAAAATTAGGAAATCACAATCTGCAGATATCTCCACCTCTCAAATACAACTGGAAAGTAGTGCTTTGATCTCTATGGAAATCATAGTTGTTTTCATGCTAACAAGCATTAGTAAACACATCATCTGATCCCCTTAAATTACTCCAATGTCTTAGAAGTTTACATTCTATTGAAAAACAAAACACACATCTCAGCTGCTATTCTTTTTCCATGAGAGCTCTGGCACCTTCTAGAAATGAAGAGCACAGTTTAGAAACACTCCCCCACATCCTTACAGGCATAGTTAGTGATGCATCTCTGGTGTGTTACTAAGGGCAAATCTCTTGGAAAACATGAGTTGAGGTGCCTTTTCATTAATCACATAATGAAAATTACTCTTTAGTATAAGAGGTAGCAGCCAAAACGATGATGAAGTGTGACTAAAAACAAAAAAAGTCCATACTTGAGCCAGAAAAAAATATGTTTAGTGTACTGGGATGCTACCAAGAATGTGTTTAAAATAACAATTAAAGTGGTTTTTAAAAAGCCAGTTTCTTGAACAATGCTTCCTTTTTCCAGAATACTTGGTCACACTAAAGGATTATATTGTGGAGTTTATAACAATTTGGCAAGGTGCTGGTCTTTCAAATGCCTCAGACAGCTTTCATTGTGTCAGCCTCATGGATACAGCTGGTTTAAGGCAGATTGGCTCAGCTCAGGAACAAACTTTTATGCATCTATTACACAAAGCTTATGAAAACTGGGTAGAATGCGGAAGAGGAACAGACAGAACATAAAGATTGCACATCAGACGGTATGGGGAAGGAAGAGTTGAGGAAGACTTATCCTTTTTCTTCCTAGCCCTGCAAACAGAAATAGGAAACAAGGCAACTATCTCAGTCTAACTCTCTTTAGTTTGAATAAACCATAAAACCTTAATGCTATTGGCTAGAACAATGCTTCCCAAACTCTAGGTATTTTGGATTTCTAGGTACAGTGTTCCCTCACTTATCGTGGGTGTTACATTCCAGGACCACCCACAAAAAGTGAAAATCCGCAAAGTAGGGATGAGGGTGAGGCAGAAGCTAGGAGAGATTTAAAGGCAAGCACACCTTTTTTGCTAGCTATCTCTGCTTTGCTTTGCAATCTCTCTTGATTGGCTGCCTCTCTCCAGAGTGGGAGGGTGAAACCCCCTTCCGTACTCCATCATTGCCAGGAGGCGGGATTAGAACGCTGCTCTGGGCAACGGTAGCCATTCATAAACTGGAAGGCAAAAACCCGTGAAAGAGTGAGTCTGTGAAAAGCAAAACGAGAAGTAGTGAGGGAAAATTGTATTTGGGATTTCAGATCCCAGAATCCCTGCCAAAGCAGTTAAGGCTTCTTGAAGTTGAAGTGCAAAAGACCCAGAGGACTAGAGTTTGGGAATCACTGGACTAGAGACTGCTTTGTGGAGTAATCTTACAGAAGGGACTACACTTGAGGTGAGTGGCAGATAGTGATAGATGCTCTGCCTCCATACAGGAGAATTGATATGGGCGGGACTAGCCTTACAGTGACAGAGTGAAGTGACTGAGTAAGCAGCAGCTACAAGGGGACACTGGTCTCCTTGGGTATTTCATATCTGGGTTTTCACCTCCATTGAAGGGTAAAGTTGAATGCAGGGATGAGGTGAGATAGTCAAAATCCCCAGCTCAAGATCTATGGAGGACCCAGATCACGATGTCTGGACTGTGTATGGAAAAATAAGCAATACATTATAGGCCTGGGTAACAACGCAAAAATTTGTTTCTAAAATCGATTTGTAATTGGGGTGTTTTTTTGTTTCGATATTTAAAATAATTACAAAATTTTCCCTAAAAAAAGTTCGGTATTTACGAAATTTCGTAAATATTTACGAAACGTTTCGTTAAGATGGCGGACCCCCCGCATGCGCAAAATCACTTCCGAAGCTTCGTTATTGGCGCGGGGTCGATTCGTTAAGGTTATAACGAATCGATTCGTTAAACGGCGGACGCTTTGCGCATGCGCAAAGCGACTTCCGAAACTTCGTTATTAAAAACTTCTTTATTAATAACTTCGTTATTAAATATTTTGGGTTGGCAAAAGGAGCGCACTGGTTGGAACTACACAAATGAGCGAGCACTGTATTATAGCACTTTGTGTTGGCAAAAGGAGCGCACTGGTTGGAACTACAAAAATGAGCGAGCACTGTATTATAGCACTTTGTGTTGGCAAAAGGAGCGCACTGGTTGGAACTACACAAATGATGAGCGAGCAGTGTATGTAGCACTTTGTGTTGGCAAAAGGAGCGCACTGGTTGGAACTACACAAATGACAAACGCACACACAGCCACCGAAGACTCTTTTATTTTTTTAGAATATTTTTTGTATTTTTTTAAGAATAAAAGACAGGTATTTTTAGAAAATATTCAAAAATGGAAACTTAACCAAAAACTGGCCCTGATGTGGACCAAACACAGCCACGAGACAGGGCAAACGAGAGCACACAGCAACAGAAGAGTCTTTCTTTTTTAGAATATTTTTTGTATTTTTTTAAGAATAAAAGACAGGTATTTTTAGAAAATATTAAAAAATATTTAAAAATGGAAAATTAACAAACAAATTCACAAAAACCGAAGGAAGGAATGAATCCAAGCAAGGAATAATAAGCACTAAGCAGCAAGGAATGAATCCAAGCAAGGAATGAGCAAGGAATGAATCCAATCCAAGCAGTTGCAAGCCAACCCAATGCAAACCCTCCCGGACCTCTTCTCTTCTCCCTCGCCCTCTGCAGCAATGAGCTGTACGGCCGCGCGGAGCCGCTTTTAAAGGGCTCACCGGCCAATCAGAAACAGCCACGGTGCACTGCTTGGGTGCTTGGGAGCGCCGGATTGGCTCCCAGGGCACCAGCAGCCTCCATCCCATTTACGAAACGGGCGGAAGCTCGTTAAAACTATGGGGGTTGCCGGTTCATTATTTTTAAACCCTTCGGGTTTGAAAATGTTTTGTAATCGTTTCGTAAATGCTAAAAATAACGAATATTTAACGAATTACAAAATTAACGAACGAAACCGCCCAGGCCTAATACATTACAAAATAAATGTTGGTACCTCAATACACTTGAAGGTGGATATAAAGTATGTTGCCAAATCTAAGTATATCCAGTTCTTCTTAAGCACTGTTTGTCAATATGATTCAGATATGGCACAGCACAACATTCAACTTGAAGTACTAGTCTGTAGTAGCAGTAACATTTGATATATGTGGAGATGTAGGAAAGGGAGCGTGCTCATGGATCTTGTCCCAGGTCTAGTTCTAGTATTCTGTAGCCCAGGGGGATATGCCAAACACCCTGTTCTGGTCCCACAAAACTTCAAGCGTGATTAAGGTTACAATGCTGACATCATAGTCAACTACCAGTCCAGCTGGCTTGATGGTTCATGGAAAGGTAATGTTCAGGCAGCAAAATGTCTTGAGAAGGTTTGGATCAAGATCTCGCCAACTCTAAAAACAATCAATAGACCTTCCATTGGTATAAAACAACCTCTATCTAGGTTATCCCTTTTTATATCTGAAAGAAACTATAAGTACTGTTCCAAATTGTAATACACCCAAATACATCACAAATGTTATGATCACTTGAAAATTCTATCACTCAAATATCCTTTAAATAGCATTCAGATAATGAATCTGCAGGAGAAATGCAGGAAACACTTTATCTCAGATCTCCCATCTATAAATAATCTTACATAGCAGCAATCAAGATGACCAAAACAATGCACGTGTTTCATATCAATGAACTATTTATTTTCTGTGCTACTCACTGCTATGCTTCCTTCAGGAGGTTTTGCAGGCTGAACTTTGTATGGCATCTTCTTGACTTCAAATGACACATTGACTGAAAGAGAATAGTGTCCGTTTTTCCTCTGAAAAATAAAATACAGACAAAGAATGTTTTTAAAAAACGTTTTAATTAGTCTCCTTGAATTAAGGAGCCTGATCTAGGGCTAGCCCCGCTGTCAGGCAGAGTGAGGTCACTGCCTCAAGTAGCAAATGTTGGGGTGGAAATGGTGCAAGCTGGTCCTCCTTTATTCACCTTCTGCCCCATTTGTTGGAGGACAGAATAGATGACATATAGCTATGTTATAGAAGCTAGTTAGCTGCCCTTAGGTGTGATATAGGTAGCTTTGTTGGAATATGTTTCAGCTGCCAGTCCAGCCAGTTTCTCTCCAAAAGAACACAAAAAGCTGCCTTGAACTGAGTAAGACAATTCATCCATCTAGCTTATTGACAGGCAATGATCTCAAGGATTTATGGCATGTGTTTTTCATAGTCTTACTTGAAGAATTCTGTTTCTCCCAGGTAGTCTTCCATCCAGGTAGTATTAACTAGGCCCAGATCTACACAACTACTGGAATGACAAGGGAGTGGATGTGCTAAATGAGATATGGCAGGACTTGGGAAGTGGGAACCATGTAGTACAATTTCAGACCCATTGCAATTTGATAGCCTGCGAAGGCTCACCTGATTAGCATATGACCAAATATTTTGTCCTCTATTGATCCCAGATAGCAGAATGTCCTCCTCTGTGAGATGGGATCTCTTCCTAGTCTCACTACTTTCAGAAAGATCATGGAGAGACATTGGCCTTTTAAGTTTTTTGACACTTATTGGTTATTATGATGATTTTGTGATTTTTTTAGCCCCAACACATGTTATTTTTAATGGACAAACAGGAAATAAATATAATAATGTGTTCAGAACCCTCATAGGTTCAGAACCCTCACATAGAGATTGAAATCTCTGTTACAGAGTTGCAGACTTCAGTGGAGGGAGTTAACACCAGGGAAGCGGGACACAACAGAGGGGGCAAGGTATAACAAGTGTATTTCTTCTCACCTCTAATTTCATAATCATACAAGCCATACGTCAGTTAAAAAAACAAACATTGCTCTATTGGAAAACACGCATGGACATGTACATTAAATCAGATAAAACCTGACAATATAATCCCCCTCCTTGGCAATCCAACACAGTTCACCAGTCTAGGTTTACTAGCTACTAAGATATTATGGTCCTTCAACAAGCCAATTTTCTCCTAAACAATCTAGGCAGTATATTTCCACATAAGAGCCCATGGTGGTGCAATGGGTTAAACCCTTGTGCTGGCAGGACTGATGTGAAAGGTCGGCGGTTCGAATCCTGGGAGCAGGGTGAGCTCCCATTTGTCAACTCCAGATTCTCATGCGGGGACATGAGAGAAGTCTCCCACAGGATGGTAACACATCCGGGGGTCCCCTGTGCAACGTCTTTGCAGACAACCAATTCTCTCACACCAGAAGCAACTTGCAGTTTCTCAAGTTGCTCCTGATACACAAAAAGAAAATCCCACATGATAAAAAGAACTACATTTTTAAAAAAGTGGACAAACAGTGACAGCAGTATATATTAAATCTGCATGTGTTGATTTAAATAGATGCAAATTTAGAAGCTGCGACTTCTATTTAAATAAAAATATTGCATATTTACGCCTCGTCCACGTTGTTTTCCACAATCAGTTGCCCTCCAAATGTTTTGGCATATATTTCTCATCACCATCAGTTATTCTCTCATGCTGGATGAAGGAACCAGAGTGTTATAGTCCATCATATCGGGAGGATGTCAGAGTCTTTTTGACCTTTCTGTAAACAACCCCGCATATATGTTCCAGGTCATTTGTTCTTTTTGTCCCAAAGCACAAAAATGAAGAACAGATTCAGGGTAGTTTTTATTGCTTACATACAAAAGATAAAGGTCTTATTTTCCAAAGATGCTTCATAGTTTGGCAGCCACATCTTGCAGGCCTGTTGCGTGGCCAAGGAATTAACTGGCACCGCATCTGACAGCTTTTGACTGAATCCACACACAGGGCTCACTTTCCAATTAAAAGCACAATAGGCCTATGATGACCAAGTCTATTTGGTAGCACAAGACATGAAGGATAACAGAGAGAAAGAGATTTCCAGTCTCCCTGAAAATATACTTTTATGTAAAAAGAAATACAATACTCCCTACTTTCTGGTGCATGAAGCCACATCAGTACCATAGAGAATCATTGTGTTTCATATTTTGACTGTTTTCATTTTGGCAAGGCTCCTGTTTCTGAAACTTCATTGTCCAGTTTATATCCTGCACCTGGGAAATGCTATTTTCTTTCCAAAGAGGATCTTCCTTTTCTGATTTCTGCTCCAGGACAAACAGATTCTGGGGGCTGCCTTCTATGCATTTTCAATAGGGCCAGCATGCTCATCTCACCAGTGGAAAATGTTTATATTCTTTGGAATTTCCTGCAGCATCAGCTTGCTTCCCCAGTATTTTAGTGATACTTTCTCCCTCTGCAGCTGCTGTTCAGAGAACGCGCTCTTAAGTTATTTTATCTCTCATCAGCAAAGACGATTTATGAGCACACTAATCCCTAACCTTTGCCCTTGAGGGTGGGACTTATCCAAACATACATTCATTTGAAGCACATGTATTTTTTAAATGTGCAATTGTTTCCTGAAGTTGAGAGTTTATTCTTCCTTTCTTTTTCTTCTTTGGTAATCAGAACTTCTGCTGACCAACTGCTTTCTAGAATTTAATGTCTGTATCATCCCTTTGACCAAAATATATGTTTTATAACTTAGAGCAAAACAAACTTTTATAGCCCTGTTGATGGATTATTGAAAGAGACTGAGCTGGCATTAGACAGAGTGTGGTAGTGTCTTGAAGTAGGTAGGATACTACAATAAGAGCAGCTTATCATGAATATGTTATTGAAGGCTTTCATGGCTGGAATCACTGGGTTATTGTAGGTTTTTCGGGCTGTATGGCCATGTTCTAGAAGCATTTTCTCCTGACATTTCACCTACATCTATGGCAGGCATCCTCAGAGGTTGTGAGGTCTTACAACCTCTGAGGATGCCTGCCATAGATGCAGGCAAAACATCAGGAGAGAATGCTTCTTCAGAGTTGAGGCAATTGGAATCCACTTTTTTAAAAACACTTTTTGTATTGTAGTTTGAAACTCAATGTAGCTTGTTCCCAAACAGAAATCTGAACTTCACTCATTAATTTGGTACTGATGACTACAGTAATAGACATGGAAGATGCCAGGTAATGGCATCAAATTCTCCATGCTTGTACAAAATACACTTTAATCTCAATAACGTTGTAAGTCACTAGTGAGGGAAGAATATAGCTCAGCCAGAAAACAATATTGAATTTTGGTTTTACTATAATTTTTGGTCAATTGGCCATTATTTCAGATTTTTAGGTTGTGTGCAGAATATTGTTGAGAGGTCAAAATCACTTATTCTTAAACCATGGATCCTGATCCCAAATGGGGTCACCTTTGCTCAATGTTAGGGGTGCAAAAAATTGACATCAACAGATCTAGTAGCAACAATGTGCAGTGTTTACTGTGGACTCTGCAGAAAATGCAAAAGGACAAATCACTTTGTCTAGTAAACCTTGCAAATGATTATTTATTATCGGTATTGATACCTATTTGATATACTTATACACCTGGGGTTGTGTAAATATTATGTGGGCAGAATCAAGAGTGGAAAAGGTTGAAGAAGTCTTGGTCTAAGTCATTCTCATTTTAAGATTTTTCCCTAATCAACAATCAAGATGAACATCTATATACTCGTTTCTGGATTTCTTGATGATAGCTAATCCTAACAGTCTCGTGATTCCAGGCATCTTTATATATATAATATCAGCATTTTAACTTAGAAAACTTGCCTGGGATTACTAGTTTTTCACCCATTCAACAATCTTCTTAATCTACCATGACAATATTCACTCCAGTGCATGAACTACTACATATTTCTGTGTATCTCTTTCTTAATCTTTCCCCTTGTCTGTAATTTCCCGCTACTGAATTCCCAGATGATAGCAAACATGTTTATTACTAGTCCCCAAGTGTATGACCATAACATTTTGCACTATTTAGGCTCATTCCGTTCCTATTACTTGAGTTCATGAGGGCATTCAGATCACTTCCTATAAATTTCTTAACTGCCCTCTGTAGTAAAAATACAGTCTCCCTTCTTGGGGTTATCAGCAAATGTCATCAATAAACTCCTACTTCATTAGCAAAGATAAAGTGACTCTCATGCTGGTCCTGGAGGACTCCACAGGCCACTTTCCTTCAGTTTGTGACTCTACTTTTGGCCCTGCTTCTTTTTTAACCAATTCCTTAACCATTTTACAGTACCCATGTACAGCCAAGTTCTTCACTCAAATGTCTTAAGCTCTAGAAATAGGGGGTAATAAAGAAGGAAATAAAATGTTTAATAAGATTCATTAGTCTACCCCTTAGAAAACTGAGTTAGCATGGGATAATACCTAGGTAAATAATAATAATAATAATAATAATAATAATAATAATAATAATATATGGATAGTTGATGTTGCAATCTCAGGTGACAGCAAGATTGAAGAGAAACAACTGGAAAAGCTGACATGATACAAGGATTTAAAGATCGAACTACAAAGACAGTCAAGGTGGTCCCAGTGGTGATCGGCACACTGGGTGCAGTGCCTAAAGACCTTGGCCTGCACTTAAACACAATTGGCGCTGACAAAATTATCATTTGCCAGCTGCAGAAGGCCACCTTACTGGGATCTGCACGCATTATTCACCGATACATCACAAAGTCCTAGACACTTGGGAAGTGTCTGACGTGTGATCCAATACAACAGCCAGCAGAGTGATCTTGTCTGCTGTGGACTCATCTTGTTGTGTTTCAAATAATAATAATAATAATAATAATCCTTATTTATACCCCGCCACTATGTCCCTAAGGGGGACTCGGGGAGGCCAAGCCCAGAATTACAGTACAACAAAATAAAATACAAACAGCAGATAATAACATCAGAATAAAATACATAAATTAAC